GTTTGCCATTGCCTGCTTCTGTGTTTGTCAACAGCCATTCTAAAACACTGCTTTTCAATGATAAAATTGCATCTTGTTCAAAGTAGGCATAGCAAAATTCTTTCCCAAATTAAGAACAAACATATGATAGGAGACGGATTAAACATATGATAAAATTAACAAGTAGGGAAGTGTTGGTTTTATATAATTAGAGGACAGGGGACATACAAGATACTTTGGGGAAAGGTTTTTTTTTTAAGGGTTTTTTTAAGGGAACATAAGGCTGCCTTAGCAAACACTGCAATTGCTGTTCAAGTATCGTTAGGTATCCCCAATCTGAACTGAATTAGCATTCCTTGCTTTGCAAATGGCCATAACAAGGGTGATCAAATTTTACACTTCACTGTAAGCTAATCACAGTAGTTAGAAAGCAATGTTTAAACTGTACCATTGCACAACTACCACAATGAATGGTGGGTCTTTCACAACTTTGGAAGCAATCAGGTTATATTATCTTGATATACTAGGGCAAACATTATCTTGACATAATAGGGCAAATGGAACACACTGTTAGGGCAGAAATTCTTGCACAGAGACACAAAAATAGCTGCCAGCAGAGGTGATAGGTTTAAAGAGCAAAAGCATTTAAAATCCAGTAGCCAATCCAGGATATTAGTATTACTGTAGTATTAAACATCCCATCCAAACAATGTATACATTTTCCTTTTAGTAGTATATATATGTAATCTCTAGTGTTGTAACAGGAACACAATAATGCTACAAACACATTTGCAAATTACACTAATCCACAGTCCACAGAGCACAATACAGTTGCTGCAAGCAACTTCTTTTTCTAAGATTATATGGTTTTCTAAAATCCTTTCTGAATTTCAACAGTTGAGTATCTTTCTTAGTACCTCAGCCTCTGGAGCAGAAATTCCAGAGTGAATTAATAATTCTCTGCATCACACTCTTATTTTTCAAGTCTACGTTGTGAGCATTGTTTCATCTTTATTGAAATTTGTTGCCTTAGAATGTTTGCACATGCTGTCTTATTAACAAAAACAATTTGCAGAACTTTTATGCAAAAACATTTGTTCTCTGCAAAATTGCTCATGTCAGTAAAGAAAAATCTAAGGAAATAAGACAGCACAGAAGAGCTGTATATTAACTAGACCAATGACCGCCCCAATGTGGTGCCTCTCAATATGCTGGCCATGTTCTTTTATGGCAGCCATTTTATGGTGGCACTTACTAGACTTTATTTTTTTTTTCCAAAGCAAGGTATCATTAGCAGATTGAGAACTCTTTAACTCCTATCTTTAGATGATCTCATCTAACAGCTTCATGCAGAAGTTAAGGCTAAGGGAATGATGAAACCTTGTGGTACCCTAAAAAATAGGTGCCATAGGGTACAGCAAAACTTCTCTAGCACCATCTTTTGGCAAGGTTTAAGACTGAATTCCTACCTCAGGAATAGGCAAACTTTTTTCCTGAGTGCCAGAAAACTGTTGGCGTGTCAGCAAACTGGGGGGGGGGGGGACTGGAGCTGATCAAACACACTCAGAGCAAGCTGAGCCCCAGCATCATCGCCTGCAATTCAAGAGATTGCTTTGTTCTCTTGGGTGAAGAACTGCTCCTGCAAGCTGAATAAAATGGACTGGCACATTGCTTTTTAGCACATGTGTCAGAGGTTGCCTATCCTTTTTTTTTTTTTTTTGTAAATGCTTTATTGAACTCTCCTAAAAAGGAGAGGAGTTTCGCTTTAAGGAAAAAAGGAGGGTATATAGTGGGGTAAAGAAAAGATGAGTGATGTTAATTGTTGCTGGGTTAATCTGTTAGTAAAAGTGAAACATTCTTCTTCAGCTTCTTCTGTGAGTCGCCAATCTGCTTTCATCTTAACAATTAAAAAAATCCCTGTTAGTATATTAGAATTGTCCCAATGGTGTTTTGTTAGTGTCGTTTCTTTCATCAGTGCTGGGGTTTTTTTGATCTCGGCGTACAGGATGAATCTGCCTCGCTTCTCTCTGCAACTTGTCAGCTCCTCCTCCCTCGCTTGCTTCCTGGTTATCAATTGTGAACCGTGTGCTAGTGTGCCTTTTCGCAAGCAAAGCAGACTTTGAGAATGGATATATCCGTTTTAAACATTGAGTTAATCGCTGCCATTCTCATCCGCAACTTTCCACCATCATGCACATTTTACGCTTCTCACAGTTCCGTTTAAAGTCACAGTCTTTCATGCTTCGAGTTAGTAACTGCGCCATCACCGGAAGTTCATCCTTTCTTCCTTGCTAGCTTCTTCACCCAGCGCCGACATCTTACTTTTTTGTTTATCTTATGCTTTTACATCAGAGCTTGACTTTTTCCACTTTTATGCTCATTCTGCCATCCGTTTTTCGGTCTCCCCCCCCCATGTTTCCGCTGAGAATTGTTGAGATCGAGGGTGAGAGCAACCTCTCACTCTCTCACATCGTTTCGCTGGGGGGGGGGAGCTCACTCGGAAAGTTCTAACAGTTCATTCGAAGTTAAAGTCATTCGCTCTCGCTTAAATTACCAAAGGGCTTTTCTTCCAGTTTCCGTTCCCCCCCCCTTTTCTCCGCCAAATTCGTATGGAACGAAAGTTTAAACGAGGATAGAAGGATCTTCTCCTTCTCGCATTCTTATCGCTTGGGGTGGGGGGGTACGCGATTATTGCTTTTCGGCTACGATTGACAACTCACAGTTCCAGCCGCTCTTTTCCAATTTCATCGCTTTTTCACTTATTCGCTTCATCACTCGGTGGCGTCCGTAGGTTCCACTAAACCCCTTACAGGGTCACTCACGCGGCGAGGTCCATAGGGGCAGGGCGAGGAAAGAGCCTCAATTTCCGACCGTTCGGCCGAGAAAGAGGCTCCCCCAAAGTGCCCTAAAGCGCCCCGGATCCGAGCTCCTCTCCCTGAGGTGCTCGTTCGGGTCTCCGCTCGTGCGGATTCCCTCCTCAACCGCGGGCGGGCGAGACGCCCCGGGAGCAACCCGGGGATGCGTCCGCCATTCGCGGAAGCCAAACCGGAAGCCTAGAGGTTGTCTATCCTGTTGTTCAGTCGCACAGTCGAGTCCGACTCTTCGTGACCCCATGGACCAGCTCCCGCCAGGCCCTCCTGTCTTCCGTCCTCTGAAGCTGGCTCAATTTCATGTTCGTTGCATCTATGACACTGTCTAACCATCTCATCCTTTGCCGTCCCCGTCTTCTTTGACCTTCAATCTTTTTTTTCCCTAGACTATGTGAATCAATGGGAAACATACTATGTGCTGGTTATCAAAACCAATACATGGCACAGTATGTAAAAAAGTTTGTCACACAAAGAAACTTTAGTCAATAAATCTTATGAATCAATTGATTGCATCCGAGAAAAAACAATAGTCCTGAAGGGGAAACAATACTTTGTTTTGAAAACATAAGTACTACAGTCTTAAAAGACAACACATATGTTACAGTCTAAAAGATAACACAAAAATAGCACTGCAACATTTAGCTAAACGCCAGTGAAGTGCATTACAGGACTTCAAGCAGTTTTCTAATTTCTTTAAAATGCAAGGTACTTATTTGATTTGTATATGCATCTGTGTGATGTATGTTATATACAAATGTATGGGATGCACACATGTCCCACTTCCACATTTGGTATCCTTTTCTGGGCAGAATGTTTATTAATAGTTTATCTCCTGCTGCTCTTTTGAACACCAAGGGAGTGCATGAGCAATACAATAGACGTACTTTTCATTAATTAAAAGAATCCTAAAAATCTGTTGCCCAGATTAATCAGGAGACTTTTTAAATTGACCAAAAGCACTAAAGAAGAATGCCTTCTATGTATGCTCACTCATAAACTGCAGTGCTGGCATGCCACTAACATTCGCCTCCTATAAACAAATAGCCACAGCTGCCTGACGCACTTACGCCCTCTTCCCCAAAGAGAGTTGTCATGTTGTTTTAAAGCAGAGCTGTTCTTTTAAATGGTTGGATTTTTCTATTAAAAGTCATTCAAAGCGGTGACCCCCCTCCACCTGCACCATCCTACCACCTCAGCATTCTACCTGAGTTGAGTTGCCAGCATAGATGGAGAAAGGTTCAGGTGGGTAGCCCTGTTGGTCTGAAACAGCAAAGTCTGAGTCCAGTGGCACCTTTAAGGCCAAGGAAGTTTCACTTGGGTATAAGCTTTTGCTCTATAGTTGGAGAAAAATACCCTGTCCCCTTAGTAATCAACATTTGAAGCTTTTCATGGCATGAAGATAAATAATATTACCAATTAAATGTAAATAACATCAGATTACACTTTTATTAAAGCAACAGGACTTTTTTCTCCAGGCAGTTGGCACCTCTAGACACTGCGCAAATAAGTGATGTGTGCTTATTGAGTACCTTAGATGCCCATTAGCCAGGTGCTGAACTAATTAAGTATCCATATTCACTCTGAACGGGTGGCAGCTCAGGGTACGCCCGAGATTCCCGGTGAGCGGAAGGTCCCGCAGGGAAGTGCTTTTTTTGCTTCCCCTGCGGGCAAGTTCAGCTCAGGCCTTGGAGTTGCCAGTTTTTGACGCGGCCTCCCTAGCTAGCCCCTTTTTATATCCGCAGCAACAAGCAGGGGCTCCTCTTGACCTCCCTGCCATTCAAAGCTTCATTTGCAGCCCAGGTGCCGCCAGGCGAGATTGCTTTTTGAGTTTTAGATTTCCCCCCTCCCGCTTGTGTACTCCAAACCAAATATCCCGTGGCTCCACCGTCTCGATCGGGGTGGGGGTGGCAGGGCTGCTTCCCCCTGCTGGGGCACCACGGGCGGTCAGGGCTGCCTGCAACAGGTGGGGGGGGGGGAGAGAGTTCTGGTGGGGGAAAGGACAGCTGCTGCCGCGTCTCCAAGGCCCCCTGTTGAAAGGTCTCCTAGCAACCGAGCGGCCAATAGGGTGCCGCGTGGGGACGTGGGGGGCGGGGAACGCGAGTAATCCCGCGAGGAGCTCGTGGGCAGGGCCAGGTCGGTTGGTTGCGAGCGCGGACGCAGAAAGCGCGGCGGTTAAGCACCGGCGCTGGCGGACCCAGGGAGGACAGGAAAACTCCGCCCCCTCTACAGCAGCAGGTGGGGTGCTCTCGAGGCACACGTGGAAGAGGGCAGGATAAAGTTCTTGGCATGCGTGGGAAATGGGCGCAGCCATTCTCGTGCGTTTTCTGGCTTGGGCAAGAGCAGCCGTTTTGTAGGAGCAGTTTATATCCGTGTGCTGGAGGGGGCTGCGCACCGTTGGGGGCGGTGGGCTGGGCGCCGAATCCTGGGCTGATTGGAAGCAGGCGCCCAGCGTAGTCGGGGGAGGAGCAGCGGGGCAGGCAGGGCAAGGGAAGAGCCGATCTGTGCCACGTGAGGGCGAGGCATTGGGCGAGGGGCGGGGGGAGGCCTGGTGCGGCTGCTTGGCCGCTCCTTGAGCCCCTTTTGGGGGTGGGCGTATCGGCCTCTTCGCCACGCTTGAACGGGATGGGATGACGTAGTGCTGTTTTCGATCTTGCAGCTCCCGTTTTGAAAAGGCTGGATGTGCTTGAGCCGTGGGTTTTTTTTTTTTGGTTTTTTTATAATGAAATAAACGAGACCCGTGTTGATCTGACCAACTTATCGCTGGCACGAATTTATGCCAGATCGTTACTTGTCATGGAGTGCGTGGTGTGTGTGTGTGTGTTATCAATGGGGTATGATTTTAAGGAGCTTCAACCTGTGTCGTACTATGCAGGTTACTTTGATTCGTCCGTAGGTTATCCACACATTGAGAACCGCCAAGACAATTTAACATGATGTGCCCTGCATTACTGTGGCAGCAGCCTGCCTTTATGATAGTAGGTTTCGTAAAGGCTTAAAAGTTTTTTTGTACAACTGATTGTCAACACTATGACTTTTGCTATATTAAGTTTGAGTCCAGTGGCATCTTTAAGACCAACAAAGTTTAATTCTCGGTATAAGCTTTTGTGTGTACCCAGAATTAAACTTTGTTGGTCTTAAAGGTTCCACTGGACTCAAACTTTGTTCTGTTGTTTCAGACCAACACAGCTACCCACCTGAATCAATTTTGTTATATTAGTTATAGTCTCTAGTGCCGCCAGGCGAGATGGCTTTTTTAGTGAATGAACATGAATGACACTAAAGTATTTCATTTGTGTGTGTACCCCAGCAAGTATGCTGATACAGTCCAAGTGGCACCCATGTCAAAACAAAGAGTGGCCACAAGACATTTAAACAAAAGTTTGCATACCCTCTTCTGCTTGGCCCTGTTTAATGTTTGTTCCTCCCCCCCCCCCCCCCCTGGGGGGGGGCGTTCTTTCCTTGAAAAACAAAATTACCTTTAAGATTAGGAACAGAATTGTAAAACTGAACTTCTGTGGCCCCTTCAAACATCCTTTGGAAAATTGTTTTTGTTGCCTCAGGATAATGATTCAGTCTGTGAAGGGGATTACTGTCTAATGAAGGGTTTAAGCTTTTATAAACCCCCTTTGCAGTCTAATCTTAGCAGTGTCATCCCTAGTTATGGGTAGTACATTCTGATGGGCCAGCTCAGTATAGATGCTCACATAAATGCTGATCTTTGAAGTAGGTGTGTACCACTGCAGATTTGGAGTAAGTTACCTATGGCTGACTACTTAGATGATTTGTTTCAGGATGGCAAAATAATCTGAACAATCTTCAGTGTAGTATCTTGTGCTACTGAAGGATAACTTCTCTAGTCAATTAATTTGGTTCCTTCCTGTAGAAGTATGCCGTCTGTATGGTTATCCTGGTCTTATAAAATGGCTTGCCGAAGGAGGTTACAAGGCCACTGTATCTTATCAGTCTTTAGAAAAAAGGGCAAGGCAATCTTGTTCCACAGGCCATTTTGTTGGTCTTTTTATGGTTGTCAGTGACACTGCTACTATTTGTCTCATTTCATAAAGTCTGTTGAATTTGTAAGGTAAAGGTTTCCCTTGCTCGAAAGCCAGTCGAATCCGACTCTAGGGTTGTGGTGCTCATCTCCGTTTCCAAGCCGAAAAGCCAGCGCTGTCCAAAGACATTTCCGTGGTCATGTGGCCAGCATGACTAAACACCAAGGCACACGGAACGCTGTTACCTTCCCACCGAAGCGGTACCTATTTATCTACTTGCAATTTCTTGCTTTCGAACTGCTAGCATATAGTAGCATGTTAAAACTGTCTGGTTTTTAATACAGATATATCTCTTTAATCTGCCTAGGGTCCTTTAGAGAAAAGTGGGGGAAATAGCTTGAAGAAATAAACATTTTAGGCTTTTGAGCTGGTACAGTATATGGTATTGAAAGGCCAACTGTTGTAATGTGATTGCCCTGAAGTGCTGCTGAAAATCTATTTACTTTCTGTCACTAAATTCTGAGAGCAGCAAGAGTAGAATACCTTTCTTTTTAGCAATGTCACAAAGTCAATTGTGTGCTTTTAAAATGAATTATTCTGTAGTTATTTGTTTATTAAACCTGGTTTTCTAGGCCTAGGTAATTTACAACAAAAAAATTTAATATTTGAATAGTATTGCACAAAAATGTTTTTAGCTAAGGTGTCATGGAAGAAATTAAATTGGAAGATTACAAATGGTTTTATTTAAGACTTCACACAGGAATAATTTTTCTGTCATCTTGAACTTCTGGTAACTTCACTGGCAATATGATTCTTTGCATGTTTTCTAGTGGCACACAGGGTGGTTGTGAGGATAAAATGGAGGAGAAGAGAATGATGTAAGCTGCTTTCGGGAGAAAAGGCTGGTTGTAACTGGAGGAAATAAATAAATGATCCCACATTTACGCACTGCTTAACTGTGTTCAATCTCTGTTGTCTCCCAACATTTGTTCCTGATGAAGTCTCATGTACCAACCAGAAAAATATGAGGCAGCTGTTTGAGCCAATCAAGTTCTGTCTTTTGTTTAAAACTTTGATCAAAAATTTCCCCAGGACTCAACAGGGATATTGGTTTCTTATCCCATTACATGTGCTAACTCATTCAGTCCTCACATAGGTATTCTCAACAAGAAGGATTATAAATCCTCTGTATTTTAGTGTATTTCTTTTTCAGAATAGTATATTAGAATACTGAATATAATGCAAGGAATATTGGGATATTTTGTTGACATGACACTGCATCCACCTCATAAAGTGCTGTTAAGTGATCTCCACGCCTGGGAAGTTCACCCTTTGCTTCCCAGAATTAGCAAGGACACCTTTAGACATTTATCTGCTATTTTGACATATTTATTGCTTTACATCTGTTGACCTTATAACCTTAGCTTGTTATTTAGTTCTGACTATAAATAGCTTAAACATCATATTACATGTTAATTTGCTGTTAAGTACCTGTCGATAAGTTTGAACCTTACCTACCATTCTAATGTATTTGAAAAAGTGTGCCTTGCGCACGAAAGCTCATACCTTAAATAAACCTTTGTTGGTCTTAAAGGTGCCACTGGACTCTAAATCTGTACTACATACACAATGGCAGGAGCTCTTAACGTAGGATAAATTTTGTACTACCTAAAAGTATACTTTCCTTCAAACAATATTGGCATGCTCATTGCCAGGTTGGGAAGGGTCTTTGTCTTTTTAGCTATAACCCGTTCTCTTTTCTGGGTCACTTTATGGCAGGGTATATTTGCCTCTGCAGGAGGTGAGGTAATGGGTAGTTAGGATTCTTGATCTACAATCATTTAGAACATAAATCATCCAGGAATTATTTCTACTTTGTCAATTTCACATGGTGACTCTTTCTTCAGGTGGGTGGTATAAACTGATGTTTGCCTACCATGGGGAGCTCACTTCTGTCTTGATGGTAACATATGCTGCATCGTGGGGCTGTGTTCCTAAGAAATAGACACCACATGAAATGGACTTGGCCACATCCAAATGTAACAGTAGAGAGAAAAACACTGTGTTACAGCTTTGCTTGGTGCCAGGGTGTTAACTGGGCCTCCATGGGTGACGCTTCTTGCTTGGGTCCCTGCCCAGAATTCTGCATTCTCTTTTGATTAGTTACAGAGTTCTAGCAATCACAGGTTTCCCCTGTTGTTGGTGGAAAGAATAGATGCGCAAATGCTGTTGAGATCAGTGATGTGGATTTTCTGGGAATCAGTGAACTGGAAAAATTGTCTGATTCAAAGGCAAGTACAAGCCTGGACCATGTTAAACCACGGGGGTTTGTCCATGATTCATATGCCACATTTAGCTCACCTGTAATGTTTGATTTACAGTACAACAGCTCTGACAACTATAGACAACAGAGACTCTGTTTATATATGTGGGGCAAAAAATTTTCCACCCCACATTACCAAGTTGAGATTTAAAGACCAATTTGCCCAGACTTGCTGCTTGTGTTCTGGCTAAATCTGGGGTAACTTTTTCAAGATGGCCATGGTGAATAGATTAGAAGCTTCTCTATCACTTGCTGAACTCAGCCATCAGTATATAATGAGATTTTTGTGTTCTTGTTCTTAAAAACCCACCACATGTCAGATTGGAAATAGTTAAATTAGTGCAGCTGTGAATTATTGATTGATATTGGTTTAGCTGGCCCAAATATGTCTTGGTTTTACTCATTTCAGGTAAAATTGAACAAAGTATGTAATTTTGCCTTTGGAGAGTCTGCCAGAGTATGTCATTCTGCTGTTGGTCTTAGCAAGTCTTGATAGCCAAGAATGTAGGATAGACTGAAAGATGTCTGGAAGAAAAAGGAAGTGGGAATGTCAACCACTGGTGGCAGGGAACTTTATAACAGATAAAGATTTAGTTGAACTAAGCCATAGCCTACCAAAGCTCATGAATTCCATAAAGAATAGAATACTTTCTTAGATAGTACAGGACTCTTTCAGAATACCTGAATAGCAAAATTAAACTGTAAACAGGTACAGTCTTTCCCCCAAGGAACTAGAGTTCAGTAAGGTGACTAGGATCTCTGATAAAAAGAATTGTCAGGACCTCACTGAACTACTGTTCCTCAATTTTTTTGATTGGTTGTTGGGGAAAAAACCACATCCCATTAATCACCGTACAGCCATGTTCTCTCACTATTTGCACTGTGCTAGAAATTCAGAGATAGTTTGAAAGCTCAACCTATGCCAGGTTTCTCTGTTGGAAGTACTGATTGAATTGGTCCTCCAGGTGATAGTGAGATCCATTTTTGACATCACATATTTTAAATAGTAAGATGTCTAGTACCAGGGTGAGGGATCCTTTCAATTTTGGATAGCGTAAAATATTTTTAAAACTGTGTAGTAAAAACCTGTATTGCCAAGGTATTTGTATGATATGTTGACCCTTCCATAAACAGTAGGTTGGATCCAAAGCATCACTAGTGGAGAGAAAGTCCTTCATCCTGCTGCAGCCTTTTGAAATTCTCCAGGGGTGGGGGACAAATAGGGATTCCACAGTGGAAGGGACTAATTGACAAAAACCAGCTTCTCCTGTGCCCAGCGGAAGTGCCAGGGTGCCAGTATAACTGCTGCTTTGTATCCAAGCTGTTAGTAGCAGTTCAATTTATTATACTACGATCCACAACCAGATCCAATTAACAAAAACAAACCTTATTCAGGTATACAAATATAGACGCTAAAAACTCTGGTTAAAATATAGAAATAAAAAAATTAACAAAAAACTAAATAAAATAACAGCATCATAGATTACCAATTTTTAAGATTCAAGGAGTTTAAAAGGACCATGAGCTGTATAGTAGACCTCCTGAAGGAAACTAAGACCGATTTCCCACAAGCTGTTGCTCCACCCTTGCTCTTCCCTTTACCCCAATCGTATGTGTCAATTTCCCACTATTTGCTGTGCAGCCGTATTTTGCCCCACAGCTTCGCCCGATTTCCCCCGCATCTACTCAATCCTGTTTTTTGAGCAGCGGCTTGTGGGAAATTGGTCTAAATCAAAGCTCAAAGGGGCAGGATTGAAATTTACAATGCATTTTAATTGCCTGAGTGCAAAATCTAGCAGTTAGCTTAGTAATAATAATAAGCTGTTACTGTTTTGTTTTCCTTTTGTGTTGTGTTCTGCTTTTTATTGTCATCAGGTTGCAGCTGATTTGTAGCTACCCCATAGGATTTTCAAGGCAAGAGATGTTCAGAGATGGTTTGCAGCTGCCTGCCTCCATGTCTTGACCCTGGTATTCTTTGGTGGTTGCTCATGCAAATAGTAACCAGGGCTGACCGTGCTTGACATATGAGATTGGGCTAGCCTGGGCTATCCATATCAGGGTGTCTTCTGCTGTAAAAGGTAAAGGTAAAGGTTCCCTTGCTCGAAAGCCAGTCGAGTCCAACTCTAGGGTTGCGGTGCTCATCTCCGTTTCAAAGCCGAAGAGCCAGCGCTGTCCAAAGACGTTTCCGTGGTCATGTGGCCGGCATGACTAAACACCAAGGCGCACGGAATGCTGTAGGAGGCACTAAATACTGACTATCTGACTATCTGAACATGATACATGCAAGGAGATGATGTGAGATTAAACAGCATGTTTCTGATGAGCCTCTGAGTTATAAAGCCTGTGTCATGGTCACAGAAGCCTCCTTGTCATGTGTGGAATGATTCTGACAAGACAAATTGCATTAGATAAATTGCCTTGTTATTATCAGTTCTCTTTACAGGGAGCTGGTACCTTGTTTTGGATTTGAGATTAGCTTAACTATCATTGATTGAAGTAGCTTTCTGTTTAGCAATGCATTTTCAAATACTTGTCTAGTCATGGAAATCTAAAAATCCAGAAAAAGTATTTAATGAAATACAATGTCTGCAATGCCTACTTTAGCTTCCAGTTTGAATTAAATTAATTAATCTAAGGCATTCTTGCTATTTTAGGACATGCTGACGTAGGAGGCTTAACCCACAGTGGTCCTAATGTTTCTCTGCTGAAGCAGTTGATCAGGTACTCTGGATGCATTTGTTGCTATGGGAGATTGGAACGCTATTGCAGTGCCAGGACAATTACCAGGTAAATTACTAAAGTCAAAAGTTGAAATGTGGGTGTGCTTAATGCAGGAGAATAACTACCTAGCTGTTTATAAACCACTTAATAATTGCTAGTCTGTAAATACTCAATGTGTTTTTCAAAATGGAAATGCAGAATGGTGTGACTTTATAATGCATTCTGTTGTAATTGCTGGCTTTTCCAGAATTGTGATTCGCATTAGTCCTTCTATATATGTAACTTCTTTTGAATAGTCATTTAACATTGCACTTTTAGAGTCCAAATAGTACACTAAAGTGTTCTGAAGAAAAGGAAGGTCTGCCATAAAATACTTGATTAAAAAAACTGTATCAGTAATATTTATTTGATAGGCTGCCGTCATAAGTCAGCACAAGGTGGCTGAAAAGTAAAATAAAATGCAATAAAGTAATAAAAGCTCTGTACATAAAATAATGTTGAGTATATGGAAGATGTTATTTAATTGAATATAAAGTTTCAACGCAAGCCTTATCGATAACCCTATCGATATTGGAGTTTTCTTCCCAGTACCTAAATATTTCTAAATGCTTAGTTTAGTGACCTTCTAGAGTTGCACATTTTTGTTCTTCATTGTTCAAGAATTACACTAATAAGTAGTAGCATTCCTGATCTGCTTTGTAATATTTGGGGTTTTCTTTCTCATAGATAACAATATTCCTTGGTATACCTCAGCCAAAAAGATGTCCCCCTCAAGCTTAAGTGTACATGTTCTAAGCTCACCACAGCCTTTGTCCAAAAGTGTGCACAGCTTTTCCAGTGCCTTCTGCACAGAAGAGAATGTTGAACAGAGCCTCTCCTATCTTAACACGGTAAATCAGCTGGTTGATCAATTACTTTTTTTAATGCAGAGAAGCTCTCTTGGAAGATTCCCTACCCCCACTTTCCTCCTTAGCGACAGAAGCGTTGGTGGGATTTGATGCTTATCTGAACATCGTCTGAGGTACTGGTTGGAAAAGAGGGATTGGTTTTAATTAGTTTCTCTCTCCTGCGGTAGGAGCTGACCACACTTGGCTTCCCTTCGCTTTATGCTGACTCCAAAGGTAAAGAGTTGTATGTAGTGTCAGTTTTAAACTGTATGAATGAACTGCTGCAGCTCCAGCGAAAACATCTTCGAGCTCAAGAAGAAGCCGAAACTCAGCATCTCAAACTGAGCAGCGATATGGACCACCTGCAAAATTGTTATACTAAATTAAAGGTACAGTAACTTTTTGATATGTGTCTATCTAGTATCTTTTTATCCCGCCCTTCCACCAAAGAGCTCAGGATGGTGCACAGGGTTCTCCCTACCCTGTTGCATCCTCAGGACAGCCCTATGGGCTATATTAAGCTGAGAGAGAAGAGAATTGACTGGGTCAAGGTTATTCAGGTAATTTCATGGCAGATTATGGGATTTGAACCCAGGTCTCCAAAGAGCCTACTCTGGCATTCTAACTGCTATTGTGCTTACCAAACTCTTCAGCTTGTGAAAATGTTCTAGTTTTTTTTTCCTTACCTGGAAGTTTGCTAGTCAAATTAAGGAAAAGTTGAGTCTTGGAAAGTTATAAATTATGATATCTCCCCCACACCCAAATGTGTGTTTCATGCACTCCCTAGCCTCAGTACACAGAAGTGCAGGAATTGGTCATTATTACCCTTGTAATTAATTTCTAATCAACTAAAAGCTGAGGCCAGGCTAGAAGTTAGAACTTTAAATCTGCTTTACTTGATTCAGAGAGACTGCTTTGTGTCTGACCTTATTAGTGTCGCAGTCACTCAGACTGGCCTCTCTGTCAAAGCAGGCAGTGAATCACTTTTCTGTAGAGTCCTTAACCTCTGACATGGTGTGTCTGATTCAAAAGTACAGCAGTGGCTTAAACATAAAATGATATTTTTGTCGAAGCAGAAGTGATACTTTTTAAATTTATTGAATCCATGAATCCCAGTCAATGTAATTATTCAATTCTTCCAAAGCTGCTGAAGCTGTGTTGTTAGTCTCTGTGCTGTAACTATCTTCTTACCCCTAAGAAGAAGATCTGTGCAGGCAGGCTTCATGGCACTGCACTTCATTCAGAGCAATGGATTTACACGCCGCTTTCTCTTTAAGACAGCACAGTTCTGTCTTTGACATGCAGTGTGTTTTGTGTTGATTGCACATTTGGCTTTCATCTTCCCTCTTCAAGCCTTAGAGTGATAACAGATCTTAGATTATCAATTAAACAGATTGCTATATGTGCAGCTGCTGTAGCGTTGTGCGAAGGTGCAGTGCTATGGCTACTGAATGTGGTAGTGTCCTTGAATAAACTACCATGTGCGAAGCTCAGTTTGGCACATGCAAGTGCTCATCTGGGGATAGTCCCTCCTCACCCCAAGTGTAGGTGGCAAGTTGAAGTGAAATGACTGCAGTTATGTAGAAAAGAAAGCTAGAAATTCTATTCTACTCAGTTTGATCCATGAGCGTGGCATTTAAGAGCATTAGTGCACTAGGTAAAGTATTAGTAGCCAATGTGCATTGGCACTTTCTGGTAAGTATTAAGTTGCAGATGCTTTTTTTGGCCCCTTTTAATAGGAACAGCTGGAAACCTCTAGAAGAGAAACAGTCGGGCTTCAAGAAAGAGATAGACAACTGCAATGCAAAAACAGAAACTTGCACCAATTACTCAAAAATGAAAAAGATGAGGTTAGTCAGCCTGCACTGCGTGGAAACTGTCTCTTTGGTGGGCTAGGAGGACTTCTTAAGCTCGGCTCATATTTCATTTTATAGGAAGTCCACTGTGCACATGGTGGTCTGTATTGGAATGACTGTGGCCAGGATGATATTATTGTTGTTGTCATTTTAATTTTAATTTACTTCATTTATACCCCGCCTTTCTCTCCAATGGAAATCCAAAGCAGCGTACATCATTCTTGTCTTGTCCATTTAATCTCACAATAGCCCTGTGTGGTGAATTAGACTGACTGTGTGTGACTGGCCCCAGGTCACTGAGCAAGCTTCCATATATTACCATCGTATCATGCATTAGGGTCTGTGTGTTTTAAAATCAGATATGACCCAGTCCTTTCATACATAAGGAATTGGAGGGTGGTGGTGTGATGGGATGGCAGGTTGACTGATATTTCACACAGATGGTTAAATCTGGTAACTCAGAACTTTATTTTAATCATTTCCTTGCATTCAGAAGATGTTGGTTGAAGCTGCATAGGGAAAATAATTGCAAGGTAGTCCAGTCCTGCCATTTGGCTGACTGATTATCTTGCCTCATTTTGAGGTCACTGTGTGCTTCTAGAGAACTCTGTACCCAGTTTGCTCCTTATTACTGGAATCAACAAGCTTTATTTGTTCAGTTGCTTATACTGAACTCAGATTACAGTGAATCACGAGTAAGGATGGGCAGGAACCTAAAAACCTGGTTCAGTGTTGTGGTGGCCACCAAGCCAAAAGGCCCCCACCCGAACCAAGGCAGTCCGGTGAGTTTGGTTCCCACTTTCTCCTGGTGGGAGCCAGGGTAAAGGGGGGGGGAGGATTGCTCGAGAAAGGTTAAATGACTGTGAGCCATTTCACCGGTCTGTTTCACTTCCCTCTGCTTTGAAGCTGGGGGAAGTGAAAACAACCGGTGAAATGGCTCACAGTCATTTCAGCCTAACAGCGGAGTGGGTCTATCCATCAGCTTTGAGGTTGAAATGGGTGGCAGCCATTTCACTGGTCATTTCTCTTCCCCAAATTTCCCTGAACATTCTTTTGGGGCTCTGAACTAGCCCAAGTTTGTGCTGAATTTTGGCTGGTGAACCAGTTTGTGCCCATCCCTAATCAAGAACTCCTATTATTTTTAATTATTATTTATATAACCCCTAATATTTTTAAAAGATCACTATGCTTATTGTTTTTACAAAAAAAGCAAAGTAAGTCAAACAAGTATTGATTTACATTAACACAAAGAATTAAAGTATAAAGTGAACAAACATACAAAAACTTATAACTTCTTTCTATAAAAGATAACCCCACAGAATAATAACCAAACAGTTAAATACATTCCAATACCTCACTCTTTATTTTTATGCAATGGATTTTATAAATTCCAGAAATGTATAAAAGGAGACCAGGTTCTTACCACATGTATTTGTAGTTTGTGATCTTAACCATAAACATTACATCTCACATCTTACATAACCAATATCTTTTTTTCCCCCTGGAGTTAGTAGCTATTTCCAGACCTGGCCATCATCATTTTTGCTACAATAATTGCTGCAAGTTGTGGTGTTCTTTTTAAAATTCCCACTGATACTTCCCTGAACAAGTCAGTCCAAAGTACATCCTGCCATATTGATTATTTCTTTGTCTACCATATTCCAAAACTTTTGAACCAATTCACAGCTGTACCATGTATATACTAAAGTACCTTTTACCTTAACACACTCTCAGCAAAGACTTGTTAGAAATTTAAAGTCTGTAATATTTATCTTGTGGTAGTGGCTGAGAGGAGCTGTGGCTTGGTGGTAGAGCACTTTCTTTGTATGCAGATGTTCCCGGGTTGAGTCCCTGACATGTACAGTTAAAGGGTCTCAGGCAGCAAGTAATGGGAGGACTTTTCTGTCTTTGGCAGGAAAAGTAGATGAGTGAGCTAGATGGCATAATGGTCTAACTCTGTACAAGGCGCAAGCGTCATACATACCAATGGATTTTGACTTCCCTCTTCTTTCAACCATTGATTCACCCCTTGAACATACAAACAGGCAAGAGACCAAGAGATCTGGGTCAAATAATGATTATCTGAGTGAGCTGCTCCCGTAAAAAGCCTTTAATCATACTCCTTCTTATAATTACTGCCGTCTTAGCTTTCAGTTGCGGTCAACATCTGCTTCAGTTAATTGTTGGAATTCCTTGATTATTGTATAGTTATTGAGGCTGAGCATAGTTTCTGATCCTAAGCAGGTTTCTTATTAAGGAGGCAGGAAACTTTAATTTAAAATCTTAATAAGTTTTTAAAATGATGATATTTTTGTAGGTGCAGAAGCTACAGAATGTAGTTGCAAGTCGAGCTACTCAGTACAATCATGATATGAAGAGAAAAGAGAGAGAATACAACAGACTGAAAGAACGTTTTCACCAGCTTCTTATGAACAAAAAGGATAAAAAAATTGGTATGTATGTTACAGATCTGTGGAAGCAAGAATTTGTGTGTGTGGGGAGAGACATTTACTTTTTACTTCCTATTCCAGCTTTAGTGGATCCCTTGTCTCCTCAGGTACTTTTATGCCTGTATAAACATGTAAAGAAGGAGAAAGGTGCAGTGTATGGTAAGACGAGGCCATTAACACATACAGAGGAATGACATGGCAGAGTCCTGACTTAGAAATGGATTTTGCTACTTCACACTGTAGAGGTAGGGGTCATGTTTTTTAATATGCCCCTATGCAAATAGAAAACAAGCTGAACAAACCAAATAAGAAGTTCTCTCTGCTTTATTTATTTTCTGTTTACATGGGGAATTTTGTGTGTGAGGGAACAATTTAAAGCTGAGCCCATTTTCTGCAACCTGAATTATCACAGTTCAGGGCTCTGGTATCTCATTCCCTTATGTGAATCAGACCTAGGTCATAGCTAATTGTGGCAGCACACCTTGAAGCGTCAGGGAACACCATGTCTTGGGATATCTGTATCCAAACTGTTTGGACATAGGAAGAAAATCAGTACCCTTTTAATGCAGTATTGATCCCCCCCCCCCACCACACACACACTGAGGATTCAACCTAAAAGCAGAGCTCTAATCAGGGATGCCCCTCGGGATGGGTGCAGGTGTCACGACCCCGCCCTTCTGCCTCTGCGTTATTGCCCCCTCTCTGGGCTGCCTCAGAGACTACAGGGTTATTTACTCTACCCAGGGTAGGGATAAGGGAGGGAGATTGCTGTTTATAATTCCTAAAGCCTAATTAATACCAATAGCCAAATACATGGGCAGTGACTCAATCCAATTTAAAAAAAAATATATTTTTATTACAAAACGATAAACGAATAAAAACAGACAAGTAGGGGAAAGGGAGTGTATGAGGTACAAACACAAAGAAACATAAACCTAACTGTCTATCTAAGTTACTTATCCTGAGCAGTTGGTTCAAAGCAGCAGTAACTGAAGAAGCTGGGCTGGTGCCTGGGAATAGCAGTCCTCTTTCCGGCTTAATGGCCTTGTGGCAAAGATACCGTCCGTCTGGTCCGACGAGCCTCCTGGAAAGGGGCTTGGAATGCCTCCTGCAACCGTCCCAGCCTCTCACTCCAGCAACACCATGAGCAGATACAGCGTAGTTACCATGGCACTCTCTCTGGACTGAGCCACGAGTAGCCTTCAGCCTTCTTAGCCTTACTTTGCTTCCTACTAAATAGCAGTCTAGCTTTCAGCCAATTACTAACTAATTAGAAGTTTGCAAGTGGCAAGTTTAGATGCTCAGCTGTCAAGATCTCCCTGAGTCATGGTGACTTTGAAAGTAGCCAGCTGCACTAGATTACACCAGCCGGTGACTGGTAACAGATGTTAGCCGAACTGTCCTGCTATGCTAACTTCATCCAGCTAAAACACATTAACTCTCTAGGGCCCCAGTGGGGGGGGGGGGGGGGGGGAAGTGTGGCTGTTTGCCCCGGAACAAAGTAACGTACGGCAGCCCAATCAGACATCCTGTCAAGGTCTCGTGGTTAGGCCGTTAGGTGCCGATCATACGGCTAGTCTGCAGCGCGGCAAATAAGCAGCACGGTGTGATCACATCGGCAATCGCGCCACGCCGCTTCCGTGGCAAACAGGATTTTTTTTTTGTCTCACCGAAGTTTGCGCATGTTCATGATCGTTTGTGCACATCCTGTGGAGACTTAAAAAAAACCCCATCCGGTTTGCAACAGGACATGGGCAGGCACCAGATGCCACGGGTTTCCAGTGGAAACGCGATCAGACGCCCGCTCTTGCCCCGCGTTTTCCGGAAACTAGTACATCGTATGTGGTGATTTTTTACTCCGCATCTTCGGCAACAAGTCACTGGTGCACTACGCTTCCCAGATGTTGCGATATGATCACACCCGGAAAATCTGCCTATCATCTGTGTCTTCAGCGTGGCAATTTTTCCGTGTGAACGGGGCCTAGCTTCAGCAAACACAGGTCTTAAAGGGCAATATCTTGACAGCAGGTTGTCCTGATTTTTCTTAGTATGTTCTTAGAAAAGGAAATTTGTGTGTGGAGGGTGTGAAGCTTGGCGGAAAATCTGTTGAAGGCATAACAAAGTCTATATCCACACATCTGAAAGTGGAATGGGTCATCAATTTGTCTTGTGCTCTGGGGCTTTTTACTTCATCTTCCCACATTGGGAACAGCTCATGGTAGACACTTTCTAGTGCTTATCCAAGCACAAGGCCCTTTCTCTCCTCCTTTCTAGCAGTTTTAACCATCTACAAGTCAGCTGACTAGGAAGAGGTGACAGAGGATTCCCGCTTAGCTCTCTTTGGTGCCATGGAGACAAGAGCATTGACACTGTTGTATCAAAAGCATTTATAAAAGAATAATAAGAAAGTGTTAAAATCTGAAGAGATTCAGACAATGTTATGGTACAGAAGGGTCTGTTTGAAGTGAGCTCAGTTTGAAACCAAAGCAGTGCTCTCTGATGTTCTTTGTGTCTGTCCTGTCTGGGTAAAGCCTATAGTTTCACAATCATTATATGCAACTAAAACAATTGTGTCTATTTGTATCATTCAATGAGTATGAATTTCTTTCCTTATTGTAGTTATGGATGTTTTGAACTATGTTGGGAGAGTTGATGGCAAGCGAGGTGGCTGGAGAACTGGGAAAACAGAAGCTAGGTAAATTTGTTTCTGTGTAACTACTCTTGCTGATGATCATTTATTAAAATAACTTTCTCCTGCCTTTCTAGAAAATTTGCCTGATACGATGGCATGTCAGACTGAAACACACAGGAGTTTTGTGTTGCCTTAAAGAGTAACTGGTTTCTGTTCTAGCATAAACTTCCATGTTCTAGCACCATTCATAAAAACTTCACTTATTTATTTATTTTCATTACTTATGTGGCTGCCTCTCTGGAATTACTTCAGATGTAGTTATTTTAACTTCTCTGCTTTCAGGAATGAAGAGGAAATGTACAAAGTTCTCCTTAATGAATATGAACAGCGGCAGAAACAGCTTCTGGTTGAAAACGCAGAGCTTAAAAAGCTGCTTCAGCAAATGAAAAAGGAGATAATCTCTCTCCTCCCACCACAGAAACAGAAACCTAGAGAGAGGGCGGAAGATGGCAGTGGAACTGTAAATGTGCGTGTTTTGAATTTATTTTATATTTTAACAACATTGCACAATGATGTGATGATATCACAGGTTCCCGAGAAAATGTATGTTTCTGTTGCACGTGATTTCTGGAACTCTGCTTTCAAAAGGAGAGAATTTCAGCTTCCACCAGCTACCTCTTGTGTAGCTCTGAAAATTAGGGTAGATAAAATTAACAGGTCTGGTTCTGTGGGTAAGTAGCTGAGTTTTGGTCCAGGATGCCCCTGGCTCAAATCTCATCTCTCCTACAAATTCACTAGATGGTCTTAGGCAAGCCTCTCTCTGTCATCCTTAGGTTCTCCTTTTATAATATGGGGGTTAATAAAATTAGCGTACCTTACAAGGCCATTGTAAGGATTACATCATGTATATGAAGTGCTGAAAATGCTAAATAGTATTACTGTTTCTTTTTTTCTGTATGACAAAATGGGAAAGCACGTTTCTATGTAGCTTGTAGATGGGCATGACTTACCTCTAGGAATGCTTTTTAAGAACTGCTGAATGTTGGAAACTGTTGCTCTTTATATTCAAAATGTTCCCTGTGTTATCAGTATTTCTTTACTTTATTCAATTTATACCCTGCCCTTCCTACCAAGGCAGGCTCAGGGCGGCTTACACAGTGCATAAAATACAATTAAAATCCATCATAAAATTTATCAGTACTCCTAAGTAGCATCTCATTTTCCTTATTACACAAATTGCAGGGCTAGATTAAATTTGGTGGTCTGAGTTTGTAATTCTTTTGGATATTTTCTACAGTACAGTGACAGTGACTATCTTTCAGAAACATGACAACAAGCCATGACTTGTCATTAAAGGGGGGACCAGATTTGGGCTGGATGGCTGGCTTCCCCTCTTATACTGAAGACTTCTACATTTGTAGTTAAACCTTTGTCTTTCATTTCATTCACATTGGAGGCACTAACAAACTATAGTGCTCCCTTGCCCTATATATATCAGGATTCCAAAGCTGAAGTCTTCAGTTACTGAGCTGTACCCAGAGGCAGGGGGAATGTGTGAGCCTGCAGACTTCTAAACTCATTTCTGTCTTAACTAATTGTCTAAATGTGGACAGAGTTCTGTTTGAATCTGATTCCTCTTGCTTTCTCTTTGTACTATGTTGCTTGTTTCGAAATCTCTGTCAATCATTACCACCACCTCCATATTCATCAATACCTGGCAATCTGTGACTTTGTGGAGTCTGCATGCAGTACAGTTCTACAGTAATGGAGTGCAATGTGTGGTTATCTTCTAGGGTCAATAGATGGACTTACTACTATGCTTAATTCTGGCATGAGGAATACTCTAGTCTATAGGATTGACCTGGGTAACTGGGGAAGCAGGTTAAAATACAAGGGAAACTGGGAAGTTGGAGGGGGACTCCAAGTGAATTTTGTTCTATATTAAATAATTATAACATCAAATTGTTGTTACCTTGATAGTTAAGCTTGCTGGCTGCTTTTTCACATGTATGTTAAGTCTCAAAAATATTTGACAGGGTGTTTAAAAAACACACACAACACCACCAAAGTCAGTACAACTTCTGTAGTTAACTGTCATCACATATGGCCATGCCACATCTAGAAAGAATGAGTTCAAATGTTGCATTAAAGTTGCTCTTTTTAAACTGGAAGGAGTTAGCAGGTAAAGACCAGTAAAAGGAGTGGACTTTTCCAGGAGATCTTGAAGTTCTGCTTCTGCAAAAGAGAGCCAAATGGCTAGACTCTCATGACAACTTTGAACTGGTTAGTTCTAGATGACAAGTCAGTGGTAAACACTAAATCACACCCACAATTTACATATAGAATTGGTCAGGGGTCATTTCATAGAAAAAGAGGTGCAGGAGCTCATTAGCATAACTTATTTGCATATGCCACACCCCCTGACATCACCGGAAGTGTGTCAGAAGGCAACACCCACCACTCAGGCTCCAGTGGACTGTTTTGGATTGCTAGCTATTGGGGGGGGGGCGTGCAGATCTGTCCTCACAGAGGAGGGAGAGCTTGTACCTGAATAAAACTTGGCCTTAAAGGTGCCACTGGACTGTTTTGGACTGGGAGGCCGGGGGAGGGGGCTCTGCAGCTTACCTGACTGCTTCTTGCTCTGACTGAGGGCTGCTGGGAGCAGGGGGTGGGGCTTGTTGCACGTGCCTGCCCCCTGGGCTCTTTACTGCCGGAGCTGCGCTCCTGGAGGAAATGACCCCTGGAATTGGATGAGATGGCTTGTGGTAGTGTATCTTCCTGCCCTCCCCTTCCATCAGCAGTCTCCTATGCCCCCAGCCCCCTAAAATCCATGGAGTTGATCTCATACAAGGGGCAGATTTAAACCAAATTCCTGTTTGCTGCAGCCCCCTGGGCTGCATAGCATATTGTTCAGATTTGTCACCCTTTCGGTGTGGGCAGTTGATGGTGGGAAGGCACAAGAAGACTCTGGAAAGATCTGCAAGCATTTTTATTCATGAAAATTGAGCTCCAACCCAGAGGGTTTTGACCTCACTATGTGTTTCAGTCACTTAACTTGTAAGGTTTGTTTTTACAGGTCCTGTCGGATGTGGAGGATGACTCTGGAGAAGTAAATAAAGAGAACGTATGGGAACTGTCTTGTGACACAGTGCGTGAACAGTTGGCTAATAGCATCCGAAAGCAGTGGAGAATGCTGAAAAACCACGTGGAAAAGCTGGACAATCAAGGTAAAGCTGAGATCAAAACTGCGCTTGTGAAAGCTTTGTTTTAATTGTTTTCTGTAATTGTCACTGGCTGTGAAAATTAATAATGAATAGAGAATAATAGCATACATGAAAACTAATTATGTAGCAGTTACTGCAAGACAGTTTTTGGCAGTGGAGATATGGAGTGGACCTAAGAATGGGAACAGATTCCCAGCTGTTCTTCCTTTCTTGCTCCAGCCCTTTGCCTGTATACACTTGCACAAGGTAGGATGTGAGATGGACGCAGCCCGAAGAAGAGATTGGATTTATACCTTGCCCTTCACTGCCCGAAGGAGTCTCAGAGCAGCTTACATTCTCTTTTCCCTTCCCCTCCTCACAACAGACAGCCTGTGAGGTAGATGGGGCTGAGAGAGCTCTGAGAGAACTGTAGCTTGCCCAAGGTCACCCAGCTGGCTGCATGTGAAGGAGTGGGGAATCAAACCTGGTTCTCCCAGATTAGAGTCCACGCTCCTAAACACTACACCAAACTGCCCCCCCCAAAGGCTCTCTCCCCTACAAAACAAACTATTTAACATTACTATTTCTATTTATTTGAGATAAATTAGAATGGGGGGAACCCAGTTTATTTTATTTTATTGATTTAATTTATACCCCACCCTCCCCACCAAGGCGGGCTCAGGTGGGAATATATAAAAATACAATTAAAACCTATCATAACATATAAACATATAACATAAAGTACCAATCATTTAAAACACAACCAAAATGCTGGAACATTATTGAGTAAATAGGAGTAAAGATTATTTATAATATTACTTAGGTGACTGTTTAATTCCCATAACTTCACACCAGATCAGTTTGGTCACTTGTTATGTGGCAGGTACAGGCTGAAGATAGCGATGGTAAGGCCAGGACACAGCCTGGCAAAGGTGGTAAAGCCAGGGCACTGCATCCTCAAGGAAAAAGCGAAATCTGAATAATTTAGAAGACATCAAACTGACTTTTTAAAACTTGTAGGCTAATTTTTAATATAGCAAATGTCTGCTTCTCTATCAGTAGAGGAAGGTATCCTTGTTGCGCCTTCTCCTTGCTCTTTGGGCAGGGCATGTGCACATTTCTTGCCAGGGCTTCGACTATCCTGAGGAGGCACTTGATTGCCCCAGTCTGTGCCTTACCAGCTCTGTGGGTGGATGAGCTTTCACAGCTTTCTCACCTCATTGAGTGGGGGGGAAAACAGGGGGAGATGCAAAATAGCTGAAGAAATCAGCATTGGCTTCCTCTGCTTCTGGCATGCTAGCAGCATCAACAAGAGTGAAGAAGAAGCTGTCTTTGACAGATCAGCCCAAGACAGCAATTGGAGCCAAGCCACCTGAGGCCCCAGGACAAGGATCTACGATGGCTGCCAGTACCTCTACTTATGCTGCTACTCTCGTCTCCCTGCAGAAGCGACAGCAAGGACAGGGAGTGGACCTCTTGTGCTCCAAAGCATTGGGGGCAGATGGGTCCATTGTTGGAGACATACACTGCTCATCTCAGCCAGCACCTCTTGTCCCCATAGCTTCACAAGGCCAGGAAGCCTCAACAAGTACACAAGCTGAAAGGATGTGTTCCCCCCCCCTTCTCCATGGGAAGGGAGCCCCAAGCAGGCAGTGGAGGGGGGCTTCATTTGCCATCAGAGGGTTTTACTTTCCTTCCTTCCCCACCCATCATCATTGACAAGGCTTCACTCCACCTGGAACTCTATGCCTACATTACTAAAAGAGTTTAATAATTGCTAAAGGACATTAAGCAGGATCTGAGGGGGGAAAGGAGTGAAATATGATATGCCATAAAAAGAGGGGTGAGGATTCCTCTTCCCCCTTTCTCTACTCTCCTTCCTCTCCCTCCACACCAAGGAGGAGGTGAAGAGAAGATTCACAGGAGAAGCTTCCCCCTGTGGCTTCGCAAAACACCTCTCACGGGGCGTGCAAAGTTCTTTTTCCAAGCAGCCCCAACCCTTGCAGTCGTTCCTTTTCCATATTCCTTGTACAAGACCTTCAGAAGTGAGTGAGCCTCCCCTGATGAAAGGAGAGAAATGTTTAACCTCGGTTGTGAAAAGAATATACAGTCTCCCCGCTTCCGCTATGAAAGCCTTGAAGACACCTCTAGTGGATGCCACAGTTGCCAGTATTGTTTCAAGGGTGATTCTCCCCAAAAATGGGGACAGTAGGCCCAGAGACCAAAATGACAAAGTGAGTTGTCCCTCAAGAAACCACACAAGGCCTCAGCCTTTGCCAAGCCTCTTCTGTCTTCTCTAGAGCCTCCATCCAGTCAGGCTCAAACAAAATATACTAAAATCAAGAGAGCCTGTGAATTCTCTGCAGATGCCAGTTTGGATGCTGTGCAAGTTTCTGCCTGCTCTTTAACCTTCACCTCTGTCATTTGCCACAACCAAGGGCTAAAACACTGGAGGGTGGGTCACTTCTCCAAGAACAGCCTCTCCACTGTCCCAGACTAGGGAGAGAAATTCTTTGGGGATGCAGCACTGAATGAAGTCCTGGTGGTGACTAGGGAAAAGAAGAAAGATTCACTTCCATACCCACCTACATATAGCAGGGTCCCTCAGCCAACAAGACCAGAAAGGAGCCCTTCAATTCCTGATGCTATAGTAGGAAGTGGACTTTCGTTCTTTGCTTGCACTTGGTTTTGTTCCACCCCAGATAAGTGGGTGCACCAGTCTGTCAGTCAGGGGCAGGGGCTTGAACTATGGGGGGCATAATGAAGCTGCTTAGGCTTAAACTACACAGAGGCTTTCTTTCTCTGGGACTTTGAGGCATTTACTTGCCACACAGGCAGTGGTGTACCAAGGGTGGGGCGGGGTGGGGTGTGCTCTGCCCTTAGGTGCAGCTTTAGGAGGGCCCTTGAAGCCAGTGTCATGCTGCGTCCAGCTGAACATCTTTCCTTTTATTTTTAAATTGCAGTTCTGGGTGCAGCCACTAGGGGCACAGGGAAGTCTGAGCATAGTAAAAAGCACTCTAGGATTGGCTAGACTTCCCCTTTCTCCAAGACTGACACAAATTTGCTTAACAAATCATACAACCAAGTCAGCAGGCTGATAGCTGCTACAATAATTGCCAGCCTGCAGGTCATTTTCTCCAATAGTCTGGCCTTTTTTTCTTCCTTTCCTTGCACCCAGCTCAGCCATATCTTGCAAAACTGTAGTTAAGGTGCTGCAGGAAGATAAAACAACTTTTCCCTCTCTTAATTTATCTTCCCCTCTTCCACGCATTTCTCATTCATTTCTGTTTCCCTTCGCCTAATTTTTCCATGTGTCCCCCCCCCCCCTTTATTTTCACTTCTTGGTCTCAAGACCTTCTCATCCCTATCCTGCTTGGAGACAGAATGTATTTAGTATAGTAGCAAACCTTTGTTAATATTATGAACATAAGGCACTGGGTTTGCTGGGCAGTGTACATTGCAGTGGTTCTGTTGGGCTCCCAACCACCACCACCCCCGCTTGAACTGTGATTCTGTGCTTGACATCAGCTGGCATTGTGGCACTGGGTTCTCCTGGGCACTCTGTTTGTACTGGTACTGCTGAGCAGTGTTCCCCCTAAGCTGAGTTAGTGTGAGCTAGCTCACAGTTTTTTAGCCTCCAGCTCACACATTTTTGTCTTAGCTCAGGAAGGACAGCTCCAGAGCAAACTAATTTATGCAGGAGCCAAATCACTTGCTCACAACTTTCATGCCAGTAGCTCACATAGTAGAATTTTTGCTCACAAGACTCCACAGCTTAGAGGGAACATTGCTGCTGAGTACTCTGTACGTTGCACTGGTTCTTCTGAGTTTGCAAAAATACCCCCCCTTCAGTTTCCACTTCAGAGATTCTCTGGTCTGACTTTAGTCCTTTGGAAACAATGAGTTATTTTCCTCTGACACCACTCATAGCCAGGGCACTCCACAGGGCACAAAAAGAAGCAGCAGAGGTCATATTCATCATACCCCACTGGCCAAGGAGACCCTGGTTCTCCGATGTGATAGCAATGGTGCAGCAACTATGATAGATCATTCTGGCAGCTCACAACATTTTCCTACAGGGTCCTCTGTTCCATATTAACCTGGGTCAGCTCCACCTCTCTGTATGGAAACTGAGAGTACTAGAGGAATATGACTATCCAGAAAACATTATTGAAGTGATTTTGGCATCTAAGAAGTTCTTCTACTCTTAGAAACTATGAAGCCACAGGTAGTGTTGCAGAAAGAAATCCAGTGCACTTGCAACAGAGGTCTTTTGCTTCTTCCAAGATGGTCTGGATCAAACTTTGTTCCATGGGGATCTGTTTTCCTCTGAAATCTGGCAAAACATGAACTGGGGGGTGGTGTTGAGTGCCTCCTCAGGATAATGGAAGCCTTGGGAACATGTTGCATATGCTTTGACCAGAGAGCAAGGAGGAGGCACAGCCCATACAAGGATACCTGCCAAACCATTTGTGGTAAGTTTAGTGTCTCAGTCTCTGTTTTCTTTTCCCATATATTTGAATCTCCAAAACAGTTTATCTGGATCATTTTAGTTGAAAAAGTTTTGAGAATGGCACTGACCCTTTGTCTCCTGACAATGGGAATGTTAAACTGCACATGCCCGTGCATATCATGGGAACAGATTTATGGCTGGATATTACTGAGATCAGTGACTTGAATATTTAGCCGACGCACATTTGTAACATTATCCCTTGAGGGTTTTGCATATTGGTGTTTCTACTTCTGGTCTCCTAGTGATGTTTAATATTCCTTTGTACATTAACAGAATCAGATTTCTGTCATGCATTAACAGCATATGATTGCTTTGGCAGATTAGGTTGTTAAAACTGCCCTGGGCCTAGCTGTGTTAGATGGCCCATCTTGTTGGGTAACCATTGTCATTTCCACAGTCTGGATCAAAGCTCAGGGTCCACTGCCACACTGTCAGCACCCTAGGGGCTGTTTCGCTCAACTTGCGCTTGGTTGTCAGTGACCCACCAGAAACGTTCCCAGTAAATTCAAGGGCCATTCTGCCTTTGGATTGCCCACCTAGTCAGTTAGGAGCCTTGCAGACGTTTTCAGTAGATTTTGGCATAATTGCTGTTGAAGTATATTGGTGGTTTATTTGATGAGGTTTAAGTAAGCCCTGACCTCCCTGGGCAGTATAAACTACTAACAGTGCTGCCTTATGCAGAGTTACTCCAGTCTAAGCTCACTCATTTCAGTGGGATTAGACTGGAGAAACTCTTTTTAGGATTTCTCTGTAAGACAGTTTAGTGGTCTGATTGTTAATTATAAGGAATGCCTTCATGTATATTTCACCTTCTCCACTGTACAGAGGACTAACTTTCTTGGGTATTATTTTTGTGCAAAAAACAACATAATACAGAAAAATCTGTTTAATGATTTTTAATGCACTAGTTAATAAAATAAATAAATGAAAGTCACTGTTCAAACTTGTAGTATTACATGTGCACTCTGAAACACTGAACAGCAACAATACAATCTCAAGAGAAGAGCATGAAATGGAAGTCGAAAGGCTACAGTTGGAAATTCAGCAGTGTAAGGAAATGATCAAAACTCAACAGCAACTCTTACAGGTAAGTATATTTTCCCAGAGAAGTACTCATGATTCCGGGTGGTTAGAGTGTGAGATGGGGTTTGAGATACCTGAGTTCAAACCTCCACTTAGCCATGAAGCTCATTTGGGTGACCTCTAGCCTGTCATCCTCTCATAACCTAATTCTACCTCCCAGAGTTTTTGTGAGGAGAACATAAGGGAGAACTCTTTGCACTGTTTTAAGCTCCTTGGAGGAACGATCCCATTAAAATGTGACAAATAGACAGGAATGCAAAGATCAAAAAACTTTTGAGTCTAAATATGTGTATGGGAATACTTTCCCATATAGAATACTGATGATAAATGGAGTCTCTTTCCTTATTTGGTACTTCAGCTTTTTGCCTCCTGCCGTCTTGGCCTAGGGTGCTATTTTGTACCCAGGTTCAGTTGGGTAGCCATGTTGGTCTGAAGCAACAGAACAAAATTTTAGTCTAGTGGCACCTTTAAAGCCAACAAAGTTTAATTCCGGGTATAAGCTTTTTTGTGCACACACACCTTTTCACTGTCTGATGACGTGTGCATGCATACTAAAGTTTATACCTAGTATTAAATTTTGTTGGTCTTAAAGGTGCCACTGGACTCAAATGTTGTTTGTTTTGTATCCAGTTAGATCGCCGCCGCCGCACTTTCCCCCCACCCCCAATGTTTGATCATGTGTTACTAACAACTGGAAGTTAATTTTGTGTTTAAAAATTGTATATCCTGCAATCTTTTAGCTGAAGTTTCAGAACTGGCTAATAATACCTAAAGTAATTTTGTTGTGAGCAGAACAGTAACTTCCATATAAGTACTGCTGATGCTTCTGTATGTCACACCTTCTAGCAACAGCTAACTTCTCCATCTGATGATGATACCAGTCTGTTACTAAAGGACTGTTACCTGCTGGAGGAAAAAGAGCGACTGAAGGAGGAATGGAAACTTTTCAAAGAACAGAAGAGGAATTTTGAAAAAGAGCGCAAAAGTTTTACAGAAGCCGCTATTAGATTAGGACTTGAGGTACTCTAATACTTCAGTATGTTTGCTTATAATGCTGGCAATCATCCCCTTCAGTAGTTGTCAGGAGTTTAACCAAATTTGCCAAAAACTAAGACCAGTTTATTCAGCAGGCTTGGTTTTTAGTGTGCGTGCTGTGTACTGGTTGAAAGGCGATGTGCCAGGAAGTGGCGATTAACTGCCATTCCTCAGCACCTGTGTGATAGGTCTTCCATTCATGTTAAAAGCATGTAAAATAAATGTGAAGAAGCTTTTCGTTTTCAACCATACTTGATGGCAGAACCACCTGTGTACCATTTTTACTAACTTCACTGTGTCTGCAGAGCTCTGCAAGAATTCTCTCTAGTTTTCTGATAGTTTTCCATCGTCATAAGCCTGTCTGTGCTTTAAAAAATGATGTTGTGCCCAAATGTATGTTGATCCACTGTGGAGTGTACTTTTAAGGGTCTCCCATTTTTCCCTTGTAGAGGAAGGCTTTTGAGGAAGACCGTGGAACTTGGCTGAAGCAGCAGTTCTTAAATATGACTTCTGAGCCCAATAAGTTTGAATACGTGAAACATCGAAGTGCCTTCTCAGGAAGTAAGACTTCTAATGTTGTTAAACACATCACACTCTCTTCAACAGTAAACCTACAAGCCATGTATATTGATGGAGGGAAGGAGGAAAAGGGAGGGAAGTGTAAATCACCATCACTCAAATCTGTATCAAGTGCAGTTTAGCTTATACCACTTCTAGGTTGAATCCAGTGCAAAATTTCTAGTTGTGGTAAAGCTTTTTGTGAAGACAGTAGTATAAGAAAAAGGTGGCAGTAGCCACTTTTGTTATGTCAGACTTCTTGTATTCCCACTTAAATTTTTGCTTGAGTGAGATCTTGTGTGTTCTGTTTCTGAGTATTGTAGGAAAGCAATAGATGTTACACCAGGTCTTGTGCAAACAGAACTGTGCTAAGTCTGTTTCTGTGTGTGCATCACTGGATCCAAATCCTAATGTACAAACTTGCACATTTTGCAGTCACTTCATTGAGTGCTGGCTATTACCTATAAAGCCCTTCATGGCCGTGGGCCTATATATCTGCAGGACTGCCTCTCCTATCATGCTCTGCTGTCTCACCTCTGTTCATCTGACCATGGCCTTTTGAAGATCCCTGCTGTAGAGACAACTGAGATCTCTCACAGCCTTTGTAAGATATCTGCAATGGTAGCAAAATCTTCCATGAAGACTCTCACACAAGGCCAAACTGGGAACTAACAGTTTTACTAAGACACGGCATCATCAAGTAAAGCTAATGCAAGAAACTGAACAACAGATTCAACATAACAAGCAACTGAGTGGAACATAACTACAGATTCACTTAGACACATTCAAATATATAACAGTCATCCCCCCCCCCCCCCCCAGCATTATGTGAAGAACAGTGGAAGGTAGATTCAGGTGGCTTGTGCTTCCATTCAGGGTAGCCTCAAACTCTCTGCTGCTCAGTTCTGTATGGTGGTTCTACATCTGTGCAGTTGTCTTGCTGAGGCACGTCTGTTGTGGATGGTTTCCACAGATGCGCCATAAGAGTATTTCTAATACAGGTGTGTTAGAACTATCCCCTGCCTGGGCTGCTGGAGATGGTATCATGAGTTGCTCTGAGTATGTTGGTCCGATCATCCAAGCTGGAGTTACTCCTGAGCCCCTTAGCTGATTGTTGTGACGGCGCCACAGTGTGCTGTGTGATACTTCTTCTGTGTAAGATAAATGACCTGTCTGGTGGTGGATAATAGCAGGATGCCACTTGTTTGGTCCCCTGTAATTGTGCCAGCAGTGTCTGGCCCACATAGCTGATCAGGTGTGCCACATCTTCTGTCAGGTGTTTGACCAAATCATTGCTTCTCAACATGCATGCATAACTCCAGTTTCAACAAACCCAGACATGAGCATAGATGCCTACGATATAAGCAACATTGCTGGTGACTGACCAGTGGTGGTGTGAGCAGCATTGTGATATGCCCATAAAAACTGTGCTAGCTTCTTCGGCAAAGAGCCATGGTCAGCTGCCATGGGTTTCAAGGCTTGTACAAATCTTTCCACCAATCCGTTTGTTGATGGGTGATGTGGTACAGAAGTTATATAACGAAGGCCATTGTGGCACATAAAAGATTTAAATTCCTCCAAGGTAAATTGTGGTCCATTACCACTCACCCTTGGCAGGGCCGGCTCACCCACTAGGCGAACTAGGCATTCGCCTAGAGCACAGGCCGGCCCTTAGGGCGCCAAACTGGACCTGCCCCCCCACCAAAGCCCCCCAGCTCCCACCAAAAGCCCTGCATCTCCCATACCGCTGCTGCCGCCTCTTTCTCCCTGACTCCAGCAAGCTCTGGGAGAAAGAGGTGGCGGTGGCAGAGGTGGGTGAAGGAGCGGTGGCATGGTCCCACGCTTTGTCTGCCTGCCTGCCTGCAGTCCCAGGATGGCAGAGAGGAACGTCGCTCCAGCACAGCGGCAAGGAGGCACATCCATCGTCTTGGGCAGCTCCCTGTTGCCTCTGGCCCTCCCCCCACCCACCTGCCTGCCTCCTCAGCGCTCTCGCCGCCCCCAACTTTGGTGAAAGAGGCTCGGCTGGAAGTCCCTGGCGAAAGCCCCTGAGGAATCTCAGTCCGCATGGGGCTGACTAGGTGGGGGGGAGGGGGAGAGAGAGAAAGGAGAAGGGCGACGACCCCTCTGCCCCATCCTGAAGAAGCGCCCCCCCCACACACACACACTGGAGCCCCTCAAGGCGGAGGCCATGAAGGAGACCCCAGGCAACCCGGCGACCATTCCCCCCCACCGCCACTCCATTCTGCCCCCTTCCTCTGCTGAAGGTGGCGTGAAAGTTGCCCAAGCGGCTGATGTGATGTGACTGACCCGGAGGCTTCTGCTTTCCCAGCCGGCCACTCTGCCCTTTGCCTCCCAGCCGCTGGCAGCACAGGGAGGGCAGCTGCAGGCAGTGTACCACACAGGGGGGTTTGGCCACATAATTCAGGTGTCACTGCCGTGAAACCGGAACTCTTCCTACTGAGATTGTTCCGTGGCCCAACTCTGTCTTATGTATGGCAGTGGGTGTGCGTGAGTAATTTACCCGTGTATACAGAGGGCAGATTCAGAACGAACGCTCCTATTTCCCAGGAAGTGAGACAACACACTAAGGTTTAATGAATAAATGTGTCTTTACTAAATATTTCTCAAGCACACGAAAAACAGATGCGTTCACACATACACACAGTTCCTTAAGTTCACAGTAGGTACAGAAAACAATCAGTAATGAAAATAATAACTTCAACAAACAATGAGGTAGCACACAGAAGGGTAGCGTTAATACTTATCTGAGTTCTAGGCGAGAAGTAATTCTTCTCAGCAGTTGCAACAGAAACAAAAGTACTGACTTTAGGGATTCTAAAAACACACTGAATGGTCCAGCCAAACACATGTGGGTTCTCTGGTCGTGATTCCAGAGAACACTTAAGGATCACCTGCAGTAGACTTAAGTTGCAAAGGTGAAAGTAATAAGAGGGATGGTTAGCTAACTACCTTCCTTCCAGAGAAACAAAGGCTGTGTTTCTCTTTTTAAAACCTAGTTTTGGGGGTTGGCATAAGGCCAATCTACACCTGAAATCCGTCCCCTTCTCTATACCTATAGGTTGACGGGTTGTGACGCTTTACCTAGAGGGGAGTGGGGCGATATTCAAATTCTAAGCCTAACTTCAATGGGAGCCATGTGGCAAGGTGTCAAAGTTGTATTCCCATAGCAACCTTTGACTTGCAGATGTTGCCTGGTCCAGGAAGGCAATAACAGGATGTTGTCCTTTTGTGATTCCAAACCAGATATGTGGGGTTACGTGTTATTCCAGGAGATCTGTAATGGTGGGAGACCTGTTGTTTTCCAAGTCTCCAAAGGCTGAGCTTAATGGCAAAGGTCTTCTTTGTCCTAAGGCAAAGGTCTTCTTTGTCCTAAGGCATGTCGGGAAGGTTTGGGTATGCACGTGTCCATTAGCATAGGCAGCACAAGCCCTGCACATAGCAGCTTCCAGGTGCAAACAGGAAGGCAAAGCAAACCAAGACACAGCAATTCCCATATTCCACAAACATAAAATGCAAAGACATTTTACAGACAATACAGCATCAGCACAGCACAAATAATACATTTAAAGCACACATGGTAACAGCCACCACAAAGCCCCGCGGTCCCCTCCCGCCCTCCCCCGCTCCAAAATGACAGCCCAGCTTCTCCCCCGGCCTCGAGAGTCGTCTGGCTGGAGGAGGGGGTCTCCCTCCCTTCTCCAGTGGGAGGGGGAAGTCGGGGGGGCACCGCCAAAGAATCCACCCGCCGCCACCCACGCCCCACCCAGTCCCCGCACCCCCACCGTGGCAGCCCCAGAGAGGACAGGGGGTGGGGGCTGTGGGGTAGGGGCCTATTTCTGCTCTCGGGTCCGGCCTTTGGCTTGTTTTTAGGCCCCACTGGGAGGTTGGCATCCACAAGGCAGCCTCTCCTAGGGTGCAGAAACACCTCAAGCCAGCCCTGACCATTGGGTGTAGTGATGGTGAGGTATGCCTTGGAGTCTTCTTCTATTTCCATCTGCAGATCAGTCTTGTTGAATCATTTGCCCCCTGACAAATTGGCAAATATATCCTCAATTTGTGGCCTTAAAATTCCCACAGATCTGTACTGCCCCCCCCCCCTTGAACTGGACCTACGGGAGTAGCCCATTCAACTCCGTAGTATCTTGGAAAGTACTCCTTCCTTTAAATCACAATGTTCTGAAAAGTTTTGTTTAATTCTGCAGTAAATGAGGAAACATCCAGTCCAACACTCTGTCACACAGGTGCCATCAGGAGGTCCACCAGTGGGGCCAGGACATTAGAAGCCCTCCCACTGTTAACCACCTCCCCAAGCACCAAGAAGACAGAGCATCACTTCCCCCAGAGTCCCTATCTATACCTTGTGGCTAATAGCCATTGATGGACCTCTGCTCCATATGCTTATCTAATTCCCTTTTGAAGCCGTCCATGCTTGTAGCCGCCACCACTTCATGTTGTTGTTTCCCTGCTACTTACAGTTCTGTATCATAAGAAGCCCTTTTCAATCCCATCCTCTTTGCCAGTTGTAAGATATTTGCAATGGTAGCAAAATCTTCCATGAAGACTCTCACACAAGGCCGAACTAGGAACTAACGGTTTTACTAAGACACAGCATCATCAAGTACAGCTAATGCAAGAAAATGAACAACAGATTCAACATAACAAGCAACTGAGTGGAACATAACTACAAATTCACTTAGATGCATTCAAATATATAACATCTTGTGCCTCAGGCTTTTCCAGTTGTGGCTCTTACCTGGTGGAACAATTTACCAGAAGAAGTTCGGAAAGCCCTCCACACTCCTATTCTTCTTTAGACTTAGGAAAACAGAACATTTTAGCACATCCTGCTTTTGGTATTTGTGTTAGAGAGAGATCTTACCATGCATGTTGGCTTTAAATATTTTAATTGATCCGCCTTGTAGCTTTTTGAGAAATGCGAACTACAAATGCAGTTAAATAAGCTGTCACCGGTAGCTTGGTTTGCAGCTTCTTAACATTTCAGGACACTGAGACCAAGGCACCCAGCTCAGTCTCAGAAAAACCTCCACTGAAAACCTGAAGATGGAATTGGATGTTAAACTCCTGTTAAATGCAGTTATGGGTCCAATCCCCCCCCCCCCCAATATGCATTCTTGCCCCAGTAACATCTGGTGCATGTTTTGATATAAATTCCTCACTGCACCCAGCAAATGATATGGGAAGGAAAATGCGCATCCAAGAGACGGGCTGAGTACTAGATGCTTGGAGAAGGGGAGGCTGGCATTTTCTCAGGTTGCCAACTGTGTCTTGTTGTGTAGACCGTTGGTGTACGGCAGCATTGCAGTCATTAGCTGCTATGCTGTTAAATTTCTCCCTCTGGAGGCAATGAAGATTTGCACAGTGTATCCCCTTCCAGCACTAACTTAGCCTCCTGCACCACATGATGGATGGTGGGTCCACTCTAGACATGGGGAAGTCACAAAGGATTTGTGGCCTTTAAGTCTTGCAAATGTAACACAGTGATGCAAATATGGTAATAGGTAGTTTTTGTGGATGTGTATATCTTTACATAGGCTTGCCAAAAGTTACTTGGCATGTAAGGATTGCCTCCAAGCAATCTGCGGTGAAGAGGAGGAGAAAGCAAAGCCCAAATGCAAAGTGAGGCATGATTAAAGTTTCTTCCATTCACCAAGTTTGTGATAGCCTTGAGGCTCATTGTGCATGACCTTGCATTTATTTTCTTTATCCTAAATGTACTGCTTGCTTATGCTTCCGTGTTGCCATTTCTCTCCCCCCACCCCACACAGTGTTTCAATGTGTTGTCCCACATATCCTTCCTTAACAGATATTATTGTTACCTAATAAGCACCATTTGTCTTACAGGTTCTGACTCTGATAATCCATTGACAAACTTCAGGTCTCACCAGAAGAAATGTAGTGACTTGTCTAATGTATCCACATTCTCTGACATTTGTCAAACTACTCAGCATGACCTTGCAAACAGGTATCTGCGTTTCCCCATCACTCTTCCCTCTCCCTTCCCCCAAAATACTAAGCACTGAAGTATGAAATGCACCTGGTGTTTCTCTCAGACTCATGCTCCTGATGATACATCTGGGGCTGCAGAGCGATGCCACAAGGCAAGTCCTTCCCCACCCCAGTTGTTTCACTAGAAAACCTAGCATATTTACATACATCAAGGAGTTACTTAATGTATTAAAGAATCTTGTATGTAGCATTTAATGATAGTACATTCATTAAACCCATGTCCTGAAGACCAAAGTCTGGGGTGGCCCAAATGTGTTTGTCTGTTAACTGTGTGTCATATAAACCAATACGTTGGGGTCCTCAGCCTTGTAGGTCTCTGGGGCATCTTGTCACTTTGTCCCCCACACCCCATCCACAAACACTGTGTAAAACTACTGTGATCTGCCAGACCACACTCAGTTTCCAGGTATGTATGGCAGCCTGCTAGAGAGTCCCTTTATCCTGCAACAGAATCCATAATCTGCTTGGTACTACAGAAGCAAGGGGTTGTCATTAGCAGGTAACAATATATGGCTGGTGAGCAACATTTGGCTCGATGGGTCCCAAATTGGGCTAAGTTTAGGATACATATTGCATACTTGTGTTTGTTTATGTAAATATACATAAGCACAGGCACGCTCATTCTTTTCTGTTTGGTTTCCTCCCAGTTCAAGTACTCTTCTGGATAAAACTCCTGCAGTCAGAAAATCAAGCCAGGTTAAAAAGGAGCAGCTGCGAAAGATACACCATAGTGGCCCCGGCCCTGTTGCCCAGGACGACACTTACAGTTTACACATGTGGTTACCATCAAACTCATGCACAGAGCATCTTGATAACTTGCCTTAGATTTTTAGCCTACCTCTCTTTATTAAGCAAATGTGCCCATCAACTTTCTGACTTCATTTGGTGAGACAGGGTGTGACAAGTGAAATTGCTCGATATTCTCAGTTGTGCTGTATGTGTGGCTTTTTAAGGTCCCCCCCCCAAGTCTTTCAGGTCTGTACCGTTTTGAAAGGCTATTAAAATGTTTGCATATATATATAGTGTCTTGTGATGGAAGTCTTGGTTCTTTGATTTGGAAAGTATAGGGATCTTCTGGTAATGAAATACTGTAGCCTTTTGTATTTTTTACTTCAGGAAAAAGTAGCACTTTTAACACTAATTTATGGTAAATGGTTCACTTAAGTGAACATGGGCAATTGAAACTTTTTTCCTTCACTTGAATGTACAGTATATTGTAGAAGATTAATGTGGCAGGTACTGTATTTATTGTGCAATTTGTATGTGTGTGTACAGATTACCTCTTTCGTATCTGTTAAATAAAGGACAAATCTTAGGTTGTGTCTAGATGAAAGAGAAATGATTATGTGACAATGCCATGAAATGAAATGCACAGATCTCCACAAATCATAGTATTTTACATGCCAAATGTAACCTGATTTTTTAAATTGTGATGCTATGTTTACAGAGGAATTTTTGTTCCTTAAAAGGATTATTCTAGTCAAGAGTAAAATTCTCTTAAAAATGTACCTGCAAAATAAATGTAATAAGTATATTCTACAAAATGCAGAAGAAGGTTTGAGTTTTCTTGTACCAGGTGCAAATATTATATGCCTTGAATCCATGGTAAGTAGCACGTTGCCGGGGGGCTAACTCTGGCTTGCCAAAGTTTACTTGGATATTGGAATCCAGAGACCAAATGGAATAATTTGGAGTGAAAGAGACAGAAAGCATATGCTGCATGAATGTATATGGTGAAATCTCATGGTTCAGAGATTGATCACATGCTGATAGGCCTAGGTTCAATCCCTGACATCTACTGTTTAAAATATCTTAAAACAGAAAGTTTTGGGGACAACCTGACTGGCACAAGGCTTCGGGCAAAAAAATATTAGACTGTTCTAGACTGTTCTGTCTTGTTACACCTACGAGTGTAGATTTAAGAATCTGAATTGCTTCCTTCAGTTTCTGGGGGAATTTAGCTAAATGGCAGGCCTCAGCGAGAGGTGGGGTACTAGCGAGGATCTACTGCCTATGTCGCTGAGGATCTTTCCCTTTAAGAGAACTCTCAATAACCAGTCTGTAGCTTAACCAAAAGGGTTGTTTTTATTAAAAGAAGAAATCGTAATTAAATGCATACATACAGAAATAAAACATGCGTTAAAAACATAAAAGTAGTGGAAATACAGAGGTGAGCAGGAATAATAGACTTTTGGGAATTATAATTACCTATCCTGTAGAAGTCCACAGAAGAGAGGCTATGAAGATGGAAGGAACCCAAATGAATTTGGGTGTGTGCTGCCAGTGGGTGCCTGTGGCAGACACACAGAAACCGAGCTCTGTGTTCTATTTTTATAGGAAAAATGTGTCCTGAGGCAGTCTGACATTTGTGCCTCAAAATAATACCAAAAATGGCTTTCCAAGAATAAACAAAGACCTGGAAAAATTATGACAGTTTGCATGAGAGTTGAGGTGTGATGTAAACTAAGGTGTTAATGTGCTTCTGATAAGATTAGCTAGAGGCGTCTGTGAATGGCTGAATAGTGTTCCCAGGAATGGACAAAACATACCAGAGGTTTCTTCTAGATTCAAAATAAAATTTGGGTTGGGTTCCTGATTATTTCTTCAGTGGTTGAAGAACTAATGGATTGGTAATTTAAACTAATCAAAACAGAAACAATACTACTTGATGAGCCACTTGGGTTTGTGGTGTGCAAAAGGAGTAGAAGTTGGGATTTTTTATTATAAAGGAAATGTGGGGAGGAAGGCTGAGGTGAGATTGATAGGATTAGGGATTGAGTCTGAAAAGAAGTAGCTTTAGGGTGAGGCAAGTCCATTGTCCAGAGTATGCAGATGTTGACAGGGTAGAGCGGGTGTTGCAACTGTCAGAACAAGTTCATGTACTTCCCAGGGCCGCTGCCTAGACAGGAGTATAGAGCCTGCCAGTCCTGGCATCCATCTTTGTGTTCACTTATGTCAAGATCAGGGGTCTTTTGGGGTCGGAGCGCACTGGAGCGCTGTTCTGGCAGCCCAGGAGGTGGCACAAATGGCGGTGGCAGCAAGCCCTGCCCCCAGCTCCCCACGCTGCGGCCTGTTGCCAGTCTCCCGGGGCCCACACTGGAGCACTGCGGCCCCGGGGAGGCCCAAGGAGGCCTGTAGCCGGTCTCCTGGGGCCCGTGCTGGAGCGCTGCGGTAAGTGAGTGACCTGCGTGAGGGATCCGTGGGGGTGGCGGGGGCTTGATGGGGGGGTGGTAGGAGAGCCTCCCTTCCTCCATCTCTGCTATCTTTCCCTCCTTTCCTTTTCTTTCTCTTGGCCCAACGTTAGTGAGAAGGGGTTTAAACTTTAAACCCCTTCTCTCTTCACTCCCTGGCTGGGGAAGGGAAGGGGAGGCTTTTGAAGATGCCTCCCCTCCTTTTGCTTCCCCTTCTGACATCACTTCCAGTGATGTCACGGGGCGTAGCATATCCTAATGAGCTATTATGATAATAGCCTAGTAGCTCATTAGCATACCTTATGCTAATGAGCTCCTGCAGCTCTTTTTCTACCAAAAGACCCCTGGTCAAGATGCCTGGTATATAGACTCCTGGGGCACCCTGATGGGGTCCATTGTTCGTTGAAACGACCTCACCTGAGAGACAAGGGGGTCTGCATGCTTGCAGACTCCCTATAAGGCAATTTCATATGTAAAATGCATAAGGATATGAAACATTAAATGTATGCTTTTAGGTTTATTCTTTATATTTTGCTGCAAACATTTCCCAAGGTCTAGAAAACTAGCAAAGGGTTACCTATGCATTCCAGGAAAGTCAATGCCTGCACATAATGTGTTTCAATGTTTGCCTTACTGTTAATTGTTTGCACACAAGAATCGCACCAGAGTAAGTTGACATGATAACTTAAAAAAAATCAATAGGAGAGCTAATCTTATGTACGGGTATGTATGTGGGCTAGATAGGCAATTATCTTGTTGATATTTAAATGATAAATGTTTTGTTCACTGAAATAGTTGCTTTATTAAACAAAACTTACTTTCCTGAATGTGGGCAAACCAAATACTCAGCAACAGTGAGTAAGATACAGACATTCAAGAGCCAGCCTCCTTTTTAGGGCAAGCGTTTCTATTCTGTCTCTGCTGGGAGTGATCAGTATGGTCATGTCCTAGGGTTGCCAGCCCCCAGGTCCAGGTGGTGGTTCTGGGGGCTCAACTCCACCCCTAGCCAGCTGGCCGCTGGGGGAAGCCTTGCCTCCAAGACACAGCCACCCCTCTTCCTCCCTGCTAAAAGATTTAAAGGACTTTAGCTGATCAGTGGGCAGTATGTGGCCCGCCGACCAGCTGGAGGGTCCTTTAAATCTTTTAGCAGGAAGGGAGATGGACTGTCGCCACAGCTCTGCCAGCAAAAAGAGCAGGGCAGCAGTGCGGGCCTGAATCCCAAGCAGCAAATGAGCCCCATGTGTGCTCAATCCTATGGTTCTCGCAGAAGGGTCAACCCTACTGTTGTCTGAGGACTGAAGAAGAAGGCACAGGTCATAGCCGGAAACACAATTATTTAGCTGGTCCTGGAGTATGCAAACAGTGCTGGCAGGGGAATTTCGCATCTGAATTTAGTGAGAAAGTTTGAGGGGGGGCAAGAGAACCACACAGAACAAAGCTTGTCTGGAGCAAAACAAATGCAGAGCTTTCACACAAATTAAATAATGCACTTTCAATCCACTTTCACTTGCTTTTACTATGTGAAATGGCAAAATCCACTTGCAAACAGTTGCTGAAGTGGATTGAAACTGGATTATTTAGCGTGTGTGAAAGCCTCCTGAGTAACGCTCTGTAAATTTAGTTGTGGCTGAAGAAGTTAGCAAATTACAAGGATCTTTTGGGGTGTACAAATAGAGGGATTCCTCTTGAGGGTAGCCTTGTTCCCAGCATTTGGAGGTGGACATATAGTTAAGATACAGTGTTACGATAATTCCACAGGAAACTGGGAAGTGATTCATGCCTCTACCTGGAAAACGATGACTCTCCCCGTGTCCACACCCCCAGACTCCTGCTGGCTAGCAACCCTATATGAGACAGACCTAGAGAGAGGAGAAGATAAATGGAGTGACTAAAGTGGGAAATACAATACTGGGTAGCTTCAGTTACTCTCACACTCACATGGCAAATGCATGCTCAAGTCGTGGAATGTTTCTCATTGGAATAGTTGGTCGTGGAGGTAACGGGAGGGGTACTAGTGAGTGACCCTGGTCTTGGTTCTGAGTAGAACGAGACCTGGTGCAAGATGTAGATGATGTTGCATTGAATAAGAACAGTGACCACAATGCTTTAAGTGGGACATTCACGTCAATGTTACTCTAAAAGTCGGAAATAATTGGATTGGATTTCAAAAGCAGGAACTTTACAAATATAAGGGGACACCAGAACGAGGTTAAAAGGAAGAAGAAAGTTGAATACCTCCAGGATGCTTGGAAACCATTTTAAACAACCTAAACAAAACCACACTAAGGCCCAGCTAGAATGCACAGGCCAAATTAGGAAAGATGATCGTGGAAAGGGCTGTCAAGTCGCAGCCAACTTATGGTGACTGTGTAAGGTTTTCAAGGCAAGAGACCTTCAAAGGTGGTTTGCCAATGCCTGCCTCTCCATAGCAACCCTGGGATTCCCTGGTGGCCTCCCATCCAAATATAGTAGCCAGGGCTGACCCTGCTTAGCTTCCAAGATCTGACAAGTTCAGGTTAGCCTGGGGGCCATCCAGGTCAGGGCATGAAAGGTCCTGCCAAGTCTAAAAAGATGCCTGTGTGGTTAATGATTCAAGGAAGCCATAAAAAACAAGGTTTTTTTAAAAAAAACAAAAAGGGGAAAGGCTTTCCCAAGTGAAGTGTACAGACAGGAGCACAAGCAAATGTATTCTGACATTAGTGGGAGAAAAAAAAGAATTTGAGGAGTGGGTTGCTAAAAACAAAGCACATAGGGTTTTAAAGAAGATGAGGATATGACAGAGCAACTCAATTCTTTGCATTTGTTTTCACTGTGGAAAATGTGGGCCACATGTCCATGCCGAAGCTGTTGTTTTTGGGAAAGGGGGCCTGAAGAACTGAGTTAAATTGCATTGATAAGAGATGAAGCTCTAGGACTGCCATACAAATTTAAAGGGTATATGTCTTTGAGTCTAGATGGCATGCATCCAAAGATTCTTAAAGAAATCCAGTATGAAATCGTTGATCTATTAACCATCATATGTAATGTCACAAAAATCAACATTCTACCAGACCACTGGAAAGTAGCAAACGTCACACTGATTTTTAAAAAGGGGTAGAGAGGGTCTCCAGGAAATTACAAGCCAGTTAGCCTAACGTCTGTACCAAGTTAATTAGTAGAAACTGTTAGTAAATACAGAATGATTCAACATGTAGAGGCACAAAGCCTGCCGTGCTGAGGGGAAATCAGCAGGAGTTCTGATCAACGTCCTGCTTTACCAGGGCTCTAGGCCTTTGGTTCTTAGCCGGAGGGCTGCCGCCTCAAGCTGGCAGGATGAT